GAGATTTCAAAGTAGCGGCGGGCTTAATGAAAATAAAGAAAAACTTTTTATGTGGTGGTTGGTGCCTAATTGGACATTTTATTTGTATTTGAAATCATTATTATTCTCAGCCGGTGGGTTGCCTAAACAAGGTATAAAAAGGGTCTTGCTTTATTTACTATACTATATTTATTTTTCTTATGTTTGCGTGACTTTATTTACATTACATTTTATTTATTTTTATTGAATGTGTGAGATAGTGCAGTGGTTAGGAATGGGACTTTGATCCGGATTTGAAACCTGTCAATTTTGTGTAATGAACATAAACATAGTACACTTCAAATAGGGTAAGGGTTTGTCTGTCAGCGGTTTGACCATTGTGTTAGTCATTGCATATCCCCATGGGCCTAAACCAAAAGGACCATATACAATTTCCAATTATTTATATATTTTAGGTGTAGAGTTGTTGAAATCTGGACAGGTATTCAAATCTGTGACACACCTGGTGTTGCATCATATGGAAACTAAAGGTAGTTTACCTGAGTTGCTGCGTTTACCGTCCCAGGTAATGGCAGCAAACAGTTTGCAGGAACTTCAACACTTAAACCGCCAGGCTACAAGTGAGTATTCAATTTCAACAGAATATGTTGAACTTAAGAAAGTTATTAAATTGATATTAGGCAATGATTAGCTGGCTGTTTGATTTTTTACAGTAATATATTAAAAATGTACTGTCTCTTGAAATGACCAAAAAAAAAATCATTTAACAAATTTTTTTTGATTAACTTACAGTTGCAGTTACATACAAATTATAAATTTTAGCTTAGAAATGATTGAATTTAAAAAATGTGTAGCCTGATTTTTAAACAGGATACTTATATTAAAAATAATAATAAAACACTTCCAGTGCCTGGAAGGGTTTCTATCATTTTTTGCTGTGGAATTATGAGTAAACATTTTTTAAATACACTAATTTCTATGTTCAAGTTGATAATTTTTATGTTAATTCAAAATGGGCAAGTTAATTGAATTTAAAAAATTATTTTTATGATAATTTTGGTATTTTTCATGTGAAAATACATCTTTAAGGCAAACTATATGTCGGTAACTAGATGATAAATATCTGAAACACAAAGAACTATGATCAGTAGAAGTCAAGTCACTATTAGAGCATCAGTTTTGGTTTTGTCTATATCTGCATAACTTGAATTACCATAGTGGTTTTACTTTTCATAAGAATAATACACTCCATATATATATCTCTTTATTTTGTTCTATATTGATAGCTGATATGTGCTTTCTTTATTTACACCACTTTATTTTTATTTTTATATGTCTATTTATGTATATATTATCTTTATCTGTACATTATATAGCCTATTTATATGCCTATAGGTTTATTTTTGTTTTATTCATATATTCCATCATTTACTCTTTAAGACTTCATAATCATTTACTTATTGTGTAGTTAAGTCCGCTTCCCACCGTATTGTTCTACTATGTAAGCTTAATTTAGAATTGTTTAATCTATAACACCACTATCTCTATACTTGACCGCTTTGTTCTCTGTCGGATTTCTCTTTATATATTACCGCATAAACTATTAGATAATTGGTCTATAATCCGTCTACACCTCTATTGTTACACCCAAATATGGGCATATTACATTTACTTGTCACTTAAAGATAATGTGGATAGAGGTTTAGTTTAATTGTATTTTGTTCTTACTATTTTAAAAATTTTATCAGTGTTTATTTCCTAATATTTACTTTGTAGTAATTATTAAATATGTTTGTTCTTCAGGAAGTGGTGATTCTGATGATCTGTTATATTCACTTATTTGAGCTGAAGCCTTTGTTCTAACAGTTTTATAGGTCTACAGCCGGCCGCATTCTTCTTTAACAGAAAAATGGCTGGTTCCCTCGAGACTGCAATTAAATGATGCATGCCATATGGATTGGTCTGAACAACAATCCGCTCTAATTGCCGCCGGCAACCAGAAGATAGAAATGCATCATCAAGCGATGATGCCTGTCTCTTATACACATCTAGATGTGTATAAGAGACAGCCAGAACGCGACTCAGGCCTACCGGATTATATACGGGAATCGCAACGATTTTCATCTTTAACTATCCAGGATACGATTTCATCTTTTGACCCCTTAGCTGATCCAAACAGAGACTCTGGGGTATACCCACATTCCCAAATCTGTCGAGATTCTGCTTGCTCTGAAAGTAGTTATTACCCAACAAAATCAGATGATACAATTCTACCACTTACCAGTAATATTGCTACTCCAGAGGTGAGAAGTGAGAGTTCGCCACAATTCCAAACTGAATCCGTTGTTCATAGAAAACGTGAATTTGGGCAACAATTACAAGGTAAACAGCCTTCGCTTGACTCGTTGGACGAGTCTTCAAGGCTCTCTGGTGTTAGTTCTGCATCATCATCTGGTGAGAGGTTCTCGCTGTTAAGTACGTCATCCGGTGAAGAATCAGCAAAGAACAATGATGAGTCGACTACTCCGACAAAGAAAGGAGTAAAAGTACCTAAATTTCAGAAAATCAGAAAGCAAAGCTTAAAAAATTTTACAAGTAAGTCAGATCACATTTGTCTCAACTTACCGTGAATCTTTCAGCTAATTAGCCCTGGGTATTGTTGCTAACGTCCTACAAAATTACTTCGTAAACATACACATTTGTGGGGTAACACGTGTGTGTTTGTTGTTGGACAAGTACATATTCCTAGTCCTTTGATTGGTTAGTTGTTAAGTTTGATTGAAATTCTGGAAGGGTCCATTCAGGTAATAATAATGATAGTAATGAAGTCATTTATATTATAGTGGTCTTACCTAATTGTATCACAGGACTTTACATACCGTAAAACCTCGAATAGAAGCCCGATGGGCTTAATCTCAAGAAAAAGCACATCTCGAATTGAAGCTCCCCATTTAGGTTTGCAAAATTATCCTTGACAAGAAGCCCATGGGCTTCTTTTCAAGATAGCATGGGCTTGTTTCCAAGATAGTACGTACATACACTGTACGTGAACTTCAAAGCAAAATTAAGTAAAAAGTAAAAACATTCTTAGTTTATACAGTAGTTTAGGTGATTTAATACCGGTTAATACACTCTATGATACAGATTGATGTTACGGTGGAGCTATTTATTGTTTTATAGTGGTAATTCCAAAAATTTACATTATTAATTTCGAAAAGAAGCCCCCCACCCCGTTACTTTGCAAAATAGCCGTGAAAAGAAGCCCATCCACAGTTCGCAAAAAAAAAAAAAAGAAGCTCAGGACTTCCAATTCAAAGTTTTACGGTATACAAGCAGTAGGTAACATTCGGTCTGCTGTAAAGATTGAGAAAGCTCAGCCAGAAAAATATATTGATTTGCAAATTTTAAATATGAGGACGTATCATAGGATTAATGTAGAAATGTGGTATTGTCTCAACAACCTTATAATTTGGTTCATTTGTTATTTATTCTGACAAAGGCGTATAATTTTTTATACACATGCATGTAGGTTCCAGGCTCTGTATGCATATAAACAATTTTTTAAATTATAAAAACAGTGCTCAGGTACCAATTTGTTCCATCAAATTTGAAAGTAGACAGAAAATCTTAGTTAAATATTTATCTCTGAAGGCGAACTCAGACAGCATCGTACAATGCAGCCCTGCGTGATCTGTTGTCAACATCGGGTCTGCGATGGTTTGCGTCGGAGGCAGTCATATTGTTGAATATTAAGCATGTTTAATATTTCTCTCAATGCCTTAAGACTGTCCCCGACTATGAATCGCATTTGGCTGCGTCGTACAAGGCTGTCTGTATGGGCCTTAATAGAAACACAAATTAAACCTGACTCGTCTCTGGGATTTAGAATCTCTATAGGTTTACATTTTTTCCTCGCTGAAATAATTAATTAGCATTTTATTTATTTTGTGTTTTCAGAAGAGGTATTTGGCTCCTTGTCTAAAAAGAAGTCAAAACAGGGTATTGGGAAAAAAACACTTAGCGCAGAAAAAATGAATGAAGAAGTTGGAGAAAGAGTAGCTGAATATATAGAAAAAATTGTACTAAGGTTTGTTGTATTTTAACATCATAATTTGTTCTTTTATTCATTTATTTGGGGTTTTTTTTTAAGCAGCTTTTTCTCCCTTAAAATTTGTTCCTGCCCTTTTTACTTTCTTTGGTTGGTTTAGTCTTTGTAATTTTTCTGTGCCCTTTTTTGCTTTTGTAATTTTTGTCTGTTTTTGCTTTCCAGGTTGGACCTGCTGAGGGGGTGCAAGGAGTACGAATGCATCCCAACCCTCACCCCCACAATGGCAAATTAGTTCCACTAAGGTTATATCCATGTATCTCTGTGTATCCATGTTTCTTAATATCCTAATTTAGTTCTGCATTCAATTATTGCACCCTCTCCCCCATCTTAGAGACAGACGTGTCTTTATGCTTATGTTTTACACTTTGTCGGTCCTTGTAAACCTTGAATGTGCCTGTGTTTGTCGCCTCTTTTTGCTGTGTCTCTTGACTGCCTTTTTTTAACATGTTTTCTGGCTATTTTTTTTTTCAATTCATTGTATTGGTATTTTATTATGCTTGTATTTATATTTCCCTTGCCAAATAATTTGTAAAAGTAAGCAATTGAAAATTTGACAATTTTGTTGACAATCAAAATGGTGTTTGTTTTTAGGAGGTCACATGAAACAGGCACATTCCTGTGTATGACTATAGACGCATTCATCAACAGTAAGGTGGGAAAAAAACATGAGAAGCCAGAAGCGATGATGCATAGTATTCGTCAATTAATAGGAGGACTGAAGCGTAATCTGATCGCAATGAAAGCAGATCCGGTAATTCAAAAAGCCATCCAACAAAATACTGACAAGGTAGGCAGATTCAATATAAAAGATTGTTTTATATAGAAAAGCAATTTTAATCAAGCATAATACAAGAATAGGAACTGTTTGCTTTAATCAAGACTGAAATCAGACCTGTATGTTTTCACATCACTTGTCAACTTGTAGCAAGATGGAGACACATAACCATCTTTACCGTCGCTATAGGAACAGACAGAAATTTAATTCAAATTCAATTCAAATGTTATTTCCAGGTGAGCATAAAAATAACAAATATAAAAAGTAAAAACATGCCATCCAAGGATCAAGTGACTCTTTAAACAGAATCCACACAACATAACATAATTGAGCACTAATAAAAAATCTACCATCTGTACCATCACTACTCAAATTTTGATCTTAGTTGACATTCTTAGTATTCTGTTTTACCTTCTCTGAATCATCAGCTATTTATTTTCAATTATATTTTATATCAACTGTTATTAATAAATAAATATAGGCCTATATCAAGGGCGGATTCAGTATTTAAAAATCTTGAACCATAGTGAACACTATAATTTTAGAGTCATTATTAGTGTAGCAATTTGTATATTTGACCATGGAGGAATTAGTTTATCTGACAGTGTTTAAGGGTATAGGAAGTGCATTTTTTTTTTTTGCCCTGAATGTTATTTCTATATGTTTAATAAATTGAAATTATTTTATTATTAACATAGTTAAACCAAGAAGTTGAATCTATTGTTGAGGCTGCCCTCTACCAACGCATCCTTGTACCTTTGAAGGAAACGATTTATTCCAATTATCACCATGAGTACAAAAGGTAAGTCAAGGTGTCCTATAATAAAAGCTCATTGCTTATGCCCTTTTTAAAGAATTCAAATCCTAAGCCTAAAGCCCACATAACCCAAACTATTTGTTATTATTTACTCAATGATGATTGGTAAAAATCCCAAAAACTTAAAAGGTCACATTATGTGAATGTTTAAAATATTTCCATGGGAACTGTTGGTGGAACGGTTGTGACTCGGACCTTGAGGTCCTGGGTTGAAACCCTTGCTGTACAAATTGCTTGTGTTCTTAGGAGACACTTTAAATTTGTACTTCTGCCCAGGAATATAAATGCTGTGAAGGTAAAACAGCTGGTTTTGCGGGAGGAGTGGCGAACCTTCCCCCTCCCCCCAGATTTGAACTTTGCCCATATTCCATAAGAGAGTTGTGCACTGAGGCCTTTGAACTTTGATCTTTTGATTTATTTTAAAATAATATTTGCATTGTCATTTTTCAGAAATGGCTCCATTTTGTTGCTAGAAGAAAAAATGGCAGCTGCCAGATCACGAACAATAGAGCAATTAGGAATCAAGGTATCTTACAATTTATTAACTTCTGACTTGATTTGCTTTAATATTTTTCATACTTACAGAGGGTAATCCTTTTCAGTAGGTTGGTATACAGTATATTTAATCGCCAACATAAGTAAATGTGATACTTTTAATAATAAGTTCATTCTTAGGGATTAGGGATGTTTTTGGTTGTGAGAAGAATAAAGTGCTATCGCATGATTTGAAGGCAAGCATTTTTAAACACCAAGCTACGTCTCAGGGAAATATTCTACAAAATATGCCATAATGTCCATAATATCTCACTTCTTCACTTTCTTTTTTGTAATGTGGTCATTATTTTTGACTTGCACATTCACATACCAACTTACTGCATCATATTCATAGCTTGTATAAATTAGAAGAATTAAATTTAAATTGACAATTGTTTTACCGTCTTACAGACAAATTTTGTTCCACCCAATGAGGAGCAAATGAAGACAATCAAAGAATGCTTTAGTTGTCTGCAGGAGGCTTACTCCCCTTATGACAAGATGGACCTGATTCTCAAAGCTGTCACTTACATTTATGACTTTGTTGGTGACAAGGAACATGGACGAGCTGTTCAATCAATGGGTGCTGATGGTATGCATGTTGTGGTTTCTTTGTTCTTGGGTGAGGGATACTGACCAATAGTTAGGGGTACTATCCCAGGGTGGGTAGATACAGGGGCGGTTTTAGGGATAGACATGGTGGGGTACATGATGCTGGTTTTGCCACTGCTGTCTTTTATTTATTAACACAAAAAAATACATAATGGCATACAAATACTAAATGTTACAATATTTTGAAACAGCATATACTGAACACGATTATTGGATACTACAGTATTTATTTGTATTATTATACATCTAGGCCTATATGAAATTTGTGTCCCCTCATAATATCTGGATTAGTCCCTGCTTTTGTGGCATGTGCAAGTTTTGTAAAGATGCTAGAATGTTATTTGTGAAAGTTTTATACAGATTCTGGAATTGTTTTTCTATCTACAGATTTTCTTCCAATGTTGATTTATATCCTTGTGCAATGCGATATGACAACAATCGAGATTGAGACGGATTACATCTGGAGTCTTTTGGAAGCTTCAGCGTTCACAGGGGAACCTGCGTACTACCTAACAACCTTAACAAGTGCAAGTACGTTCAACATATTATGAAATTCTTAATACCATTAATCTAAATCACTATTTTCTTCTGAGAGCAGCTTAGCTGACTGAGAGCAACTTAGCTCACTGAGTGCAGATGAGCTGACTGAGTGCAGCTTAGCTGACTGAGTGCAGCTTAGCTGACTGAGTGCAGCTGAGCTCACTGAGTGCAGCTGAGCTCACTGAGAGCAGCTTAGCTCACTGAGACCAGCTTAGCTCACTGAGTACAGCGTAGCTCACTGAGTGCTACTTAGCTCACTGAGTACGCAGCCTAGCTCAGTCGGCTAAACTGATGGTAACCACTGAGTGTGCATTGAACCATGAAGATAACCTTTTGTACACTGTTCATTTTATTTCGATATTCTCCTTGTGTTTCAGCAGGAGGACTTAAATGCTCACACTGAATATATGAAATGCAGTCCATGGGTATTTCATCGTATGATTTCAAGCAGTAAATTTTCAGTTCAGAGTTAGGAAAAAATAGATTTTGTTTTCATTATTTCCTTTAGTTCATGTTTTGAAGAATGTTGAATATTTTGATGACGATGAACAAGAAGAGGACAAGGAGGAAAATAAAGAGGAAGACAACGCAAACGATGAGGTAGCAGAGGAAGAATCGATGGAGTTTGTACACCGTCGTTCATCCAGTGTTAGCGGTACCAAGGGTTTTCTAGAAGTGGTTGTCACGGTAACTACTGGTGTCTTCCAGGACAAAATGCTGCCAGTGTGGCCAGGAATGTCTACGAAACAAATTTGTAAGTTTCACATAAACAAGCTGTACACCTTTGTTTAATATGAAAACTTCCTTAAACCATCATTCTCTGTATCAGTATTATCATAAAAGCTTAAAATATTTACTATCATTAAAATAAACCTTACACCCAATTTACAAAATAGAAATTTTGCAGGAGCCATGCAAAATTGTACACTCACTCACTGCACCCGACGTCGTCGGCTGATGTCAGGGGCATACCGCGGGGGTGTCGATGGGTGCGGTCGACACCCCCTTTTAAAGAAAGTGCCCTTTAAATATGCTCGCTTCACTCACAAATAACGCACCCCGCGAATTCTGAAAGCTTTGCTAAATTGCTCCGAGTTCTGCTTGCCCCCTGCGCTTTCGTTTCGACCCCCCCTTAGATTTTACACCATACGCCCCTGGACGTGATTCCATGTAGAAGGCAACACCACGACGCACACGCAACAGATCATTTTTACTGATGATCCATTCAGACTGCCACCAACAATCAGCATGACAGCATCGACTAAAGCTCACAGATAAGCCGGTCGTATAACGCAGTGAGTGCCAGCGGTTTTAGAAATTTCTTGTGATATACCATTGCTTTCATGACAGAGATCAATCAATGAAATATACCTCAAGCGTCTTTGTTGTTCCTATGTTTTATTTATTCTTAAATGTGTTTTGTGCAGACAGTAAAATTATCTTGAAGGACTATCTCTTACATAATTTCTTGTCATCGCCTCTATTATCCAGATCCTGTAGGCCACTTTACCTGGCCTGTGCCTGGCCACCTGTAAGCCTCTGTCATCTTGCCTCCTGTAGGCCTCTATCATCTAGCCTTCTGTAGGCCTATGTCGTCTAGCCTACTGTAGCCCTCTGTCATTTTAACCTCCTGTAGGTCTCTGTTATAGCCACCCGTAGACGTTTGTCATCCAGCCTTCTCTGACCCAGAACATAACATGATCCTAGGCAAGCTTTTGAATAGTTATTTTGATGGTAAAAAGCCAACTGTTAAGTTTTTATTTTTTATTAAAAATGCTATCATATTTACTGAGATTTGAATTTTTTTTTTAAGGCCGTAATTTAGCTTTGAAGAATCGCATTGATGAAAAGGACCGGGAAAATTTTGGATTGTTTAAGCTTGAAAGAAACACAGATGGACAAGTTATAAAAGGTAAATTTCAATGGTTTTAAAATTATCTAGGCATCTACTTGCCTTTTCATTGCATACTTGCACTGTTTTTTTAGGCATTCAAAATACTACTGTATGCCCATGTACAGTCATGATATGCCTAAATATGGTCATGATGTGATGTCATCATGACCATATCTAGGCATGTCATATGTTTTGCAAATAATAAAATTTGATATGCTTAAGTTTTTCATGCACCTGGTTTATCCTGGTCTTTGCATTCTTTCATTTAATATGAGTAGATTCAATCAGTACCTCTTACAAAAGGGCTTCTTCACCCAAGCACCTGTGATTTGTAATCAGTTTCTACTGAACATTCGTCTGTCTTCATCTCTCCAATTTAAGTCACTCCTTAAAACTCACCTGTCCCAATAGACTAATGGTCTTATAGCGCTGTGAGACACCAGTAAAGATCGCTTTATAAATGCAAATTATTATTATTAACATCCTTTCTACTTTTGCAGAAACCCTTCTTCAAGACAATGACAGTCCACAAAGAGTGAAAGATGAAATGGCGGTCAAAGGAGTTTTCTGTGACTTTGGATTTAAACATAAATTTTACCGTATTGATTGGCCAGTGAATGAAAAATTTATCGATAAAACAAACTCTGATGAAAGTGACGAAGAAGACACAGAGATTGAGCTGTAGTCAAATATCATTTGCATTAAGTAGGAAGAAGACATACAGCCATATTGTGATGAAATATCATTTGCACCGGGTAGGAAGAAGACTTGCATCCCAAGCTGTGATGATGTATCATTTGCATCAGGAAGGAAGACTCGCGACCCAATCTGCGATCATATATTATTGCATCAGGTAGGAAGAAGCTGCGATCATATGTTTTCATTGGGTAGGAAGAAAACACAACCCAACATGTGGTCAAATATGTTTTGCATTGGGTAGGAAGAAGATATGAGGCATGTTGTGGCAAAATGGTTAAGTTGTCGCACAGTCCAGTATTGAGTAAATTAGCTATAAAATATGGGAGCTCAAAAAATTTCCTAAAAATCCAAATTTGTTTTTCACTATAGATCAACAGTTTAATGTCTTATTAATCATGTCCCAAAGTATTAGTTCTGGAAGTGGTTAACAAATTGTTTATTTAATGTTATTTGTTATAGTTCATTCTATTAAACAGTGTATGCAATGTATGCACAAATAACTTTGAAAGGCAATTACTCAAAATCATGTTTATCTTGACTCTAAGAGTACTGTACTTTCACTTTCCAATAACTTAGGCTTGAAATGTCCAATTTAAATGAATGACTCCTCATTTTAAAGATCACATACTCAGGTATCTGAAAATGCCTATAACTTGATTTTCAATTTTTGCTACAACTTAGCCATTTTGCCACAACATGCCTCATATATGCAACCAACCCGTGATGAAATATCATTTGCATTGGGTAAAAAGAAGACATGCAACCCAACATGTGATCAATTAACATTTGCATTGGGGAGGAAGTAGACATGCATTCCAACCTGTGATAGAATATCATTTGCATCGGAAATTACGATGTTTGGTGCAATGTTTTTTGTTTCTCAATTGTGAAGAAAGATTTTTTTGGTTTAATAACCTTTAAAACACACGTATAAATAATTTATAAAGTTGATGAAGAAGTGTTATAAAAGCTTTGTGTGTCATTATGATAGAGGTCCCAAGTTGGAAGAAGCCACCTGAAACGTCTTGTTTAATGAGCACATCTAATTTTATTTTACTTCGCGTGATGTTATCCATCACTAGCTGATTTTAAGGACACCATGCAAACAAATACATGCGAATATCATGACTCACGGAAGATGCGATAGTTTCCGGGAGATTTTTACACTTGCTCGCAGGATGGCTGGAGGCCGTCCCAATTTTCCAGGAGACTTCGCGACATGTGGAATACTGGGGATCGCTGTGTAGATTTGTTTGTTAACTGTGATATATTTGTTCTTCCACTTAATTAGATAGTTATAATTATGCAAGGTACAAAGCATTATTACCTAAATGCTGGGCATTTCAGTGCTAACATTACAAATAAAAGGACAAAAATAAATATATTATTATTAAAGTAACCATGTAATAAATATATATAACAAATAAATTAATGAGACTTAATAATGTTACCTCATTTTAAAATAAAAAAAATATAAAAAAATATATAAAAAGTTAAATATATTTAGTGTTGCTGTATTAATATTTTTGAGGCTGTCAGATGTTTCATTGTAAATTTTGATCATTTTAATTAACATTGGTATGTTGATAAATTTATATTATTTATTTGCTAAAATTTTCCAGTTTTATCAATAACTGTTATTTTGGTGCAATCTTGAAATGTTATATATATATCACAATTAAGGTACTGTACTAAATGTTTGATTATTATTATTAAATGGTTTTAAAATGTCCCCTTCATGTAAAGAAATAGCAGTTAAACATTTTACATATATGAAATCAGAATTGTATTTTTTTTTAATTATTTATTCATTAATACTATACAGATAATTGTCCATTTATTTTAATTTGCTAGTATTATTGTTTTCTTCATTATAAAAATATAGTGCTGTAAAAAATAAATATTATAAATCTATATGAATAGTCAAGTTCATGATTATGACTTCTTTTGCAGTACATTATTTTCAAATAATTATAAAAAGTACTTCACAATTATTTAAAAAAAAACAATCAATGCCTTAACTTTATTTTAGTCGACATTTAAACCTCTGTGTAATGTTTAGAGCATCATATTTTTTTTTCTTTTCTTCCTTCACTGCCTTATCTTGTCATTGTTAATCTGTTTTCCTCCTTAACGTGTTCACAATCACATCCTTTAATACATTAATGCGCTGGAATGTATACTGAATGTTAGCTAACTGCATTGAATCGGGTTGAGAGGCTCATTTCCATCGGTAATAATTCTGTTGACTTATCCATCCAGGTACCACAACCCGTTTCTGGTCGTTGCACAAGAAAATCGCTGCCATTTCCAGCGCATTAACAATTCTGTCTAAAGTCTGCTAGCAAACAATTGCAACGAACATTGACTATTTTATTTTTACCGATTGATTGATTTGCAAAATTATAGTGTGGATAATGAGGGAGATTAGTTAAAGTAAATATATGTTTGGATTTAAATAATAGTTTTGATATGCTAATATTTGTGCTGTGCTTGTCGAAAATGTATTTTTATTGAATGATTTTAATTTAAAATAGATTTATGTATTACAAGAAAATGTGCATGATTGAGAGAAAAATCTCCACCTTCATGAACTGCTTTTATTTTAAATAAAATAACCTGAAACAAGCTTGTATCTGGCAGATTTTATAGAAATTAGAGGTGTTACAAAAATTGGTATGGAGTTTTAGGTTAACTAGTAATAAATAGCCTTTAATACATAATATCCTTGATTTAGTTCTTCCAGAACTTGAGTTTTTAATTTTATATGTACTATACTGGGTACTTAATTTTGACTGAAAATTTAATGGAATGTATATGTATTTAATGTATACGATTCCATACAATATTCTTAACTGCTAAGTACTTACATACTATTAGTACTTGCATTGCATGTAGTACAAGTTATTTTATATTATATATCATTGTCATGGTGAGTATTGTAAATTTTGTAAAGAATTCCTAAACAATTAAACTGCAAATGAAATTGTTTAAATAAATAAAAAAATAAATGCGGCACGAGTACAGCTTCTTTTATTTTAATTGTTGAGTAACTAACATTAAACTATACAAAAAGATGCAAGGATAGATCACTATCACTTGATATAGAAATGACAAGTCTTTTGACACATTCGAAGACTGCACAAAAAGTTCAGGAAAACCTAATTGGGGATAGGGTTTTTTTATTTTGCCCATCTCTGACAACCTTTAAAAAAGTAAGTTCAGAAAACAAGCTAAAAAGTCTCGCTTAATAAAGGAACTTTTCATTGAGACACTGTTTGATACGATTATAACATCATACCGTAAAACCTTGAATTGAAGTCCCCCTCTTAGCTTACAAGAGTAGCCTCGAAATATGGGCTTCTTTTCACGATAGCATGGGCTTTTTTTCGAGATAGTACAGTACATAAACTGCTTATACAGTAATTTAAGTGATACACTCCATGATGCAGATTGATGTTACAGTGAACCTATTTTTTGTAGTAAATCCTAAAATTCACAGCATTCATCTTGAAAAGAAACCCCCCCCCCTCTTTTAAAGTAACCTTGAAAAGAAGCCCATCCAAAGTTTGCCCAGGCCTTTAATTCGAGGTTTAAGAGTATTTGAGCAGTTATTATTATTGATCTATTTGTTTATATATACACACACACTATATATATATATGTATATATTTATATATATATATATAAAGTAAGCACGATTGCACAAAGTAGAAACATATACGTTGACATTGTAGACAAAACATCTAGATGTGTATAAGAGACAGCATATATATATATATATATATATATACAGGTATATATAAAATCTGATGTAGTTCCACATTCATCTCACCGATAAATAAAAGCAGACACAATAATGAAAAGATTACACACATTGACTCAACAGAGACATAAAATTTTATTAAAGATGACACGCCTGTGTCCTTCCTCAGTGTTATTTGTATCACATGGTCGTATGAATAAGATATACAGAACACATTAGATAAAACGACTGCAAAGTAAGCAAGATAAAATCCTAAGATAATATATATTCAGTTCATAATGCTACCATATACTGTAGTACCCTGATACAACACTAGTATTTTGACGCACACATGTAAAATACGAGGCAAGGCAGGCCAAACCAGTCACTCCTCGCAAAAATCTATATATATTTATTAATACAGGGTTAACAGTAAAATGAAAGCTATAAAATGGTGAAAGAATCATTTACAGGAAGAAGTTACAGGAGTCTTTAACATACAGCTTTTTAAAGTATAATATTTGAGAAATCATCCTTCAAAGTTACGATTTCAGGCATTTCTCAGGCAGAAACCATTGAAAATGGAGAAGAAAATAACAAACCATGATGTATAGATATAAAAAGGTTAGTTTAGCAACTTTTTAGCAATAAAATAGATTTCAAAAATGTTGACATTCCAGCATGTTTTGGCTATTATCTCTGTAACACAATTTGTGACGAGTGACTGGTTTGGCTTGTCTTTGCCACATATGTATTTCTTTTATAAACCTAAGTGTTGCTATTTAAAAGAAATGGAGAAATTTATGCCTTTGTTCTTTCTTTGATATACTTTTTAAGACAACAACACTGAAAGCGCTCATATTTTGGCCATTTTTTAAAATGAAGCATTTATCTCTTTGTCGAATATAATTATGTTTAGCTTCATAATAAGCAATAAAATCACAAATTAAATTACCTAATTAAAATATATTATTATTATTGCCTTAATATTTGATAATAATCAAGCCTTCTTTTATAAAATCAAGAGCGTTTCAGCAGGAGACATATGTCTATATTGGTTGAGCCTCAGAGACCGTGTTGAAATGGAAGCCATGTTCCGTTAACCGTTTAATTAAACTTGTTTTGGCAAAGGCTGCTCCAGGAGTGAACACACCCCCTCTGAAATGAATAACAAAAACAATTCAATCAATACAAATACTTCAGAGAAAGTCAGGGAAAGCAATATGCAGGATAAGATAGTAATCAAGAGAAAGGTAGTAGGTAAGCAATGCCGTAGCCAGGATTTTCAAATAGTGTGGGACAATATCAGGGTGGACCCACTTTACACGTAAATTCAAATAATGTGGACCCATTTTCCTAAAGTTCTCCCATTTTATGGCAAAAATATCAATAATCTGGACCCATTTTTAAAAAAAATTACCCATTTTATACAAAATATGAGAAATCTGGACCCATTTTCTTAAAAGCTGACCCATTTTACACAAAATATGAGAAATCTGGACCCATTTTTAAAATGTTATAATGTGGAGGATAATATAGATAGAAGTAGGAATAGGATAGCAGCCACGTTAGGCATAATTATTATCTATGACAGTGGTTGCCTTAATGGGGAGATCTGGTTAAATGCGCTTTCTTACACAATTAATTTCATTTTGCTGTGCATGGTGATAGACATTGGCATTGACTTCCATGAGGCAATAGATAATAAATTAGTAAAAACGTGCAAATGTTACAAAATTGCGGGAGTGTTATATTCAGGGAGATTATTGCTTGCGAGAGGCCATCCCGATTTCCGCGAGACTCCCACAACTTCCGGTCTATGAAAATATCGTCCAAATAATTAGATGAATAAACAATAGTTGAATTGCATGACTTACTTCCCCGGTAACTTGCTGGACTCCTTTAATAAGACAAAGGCACTCTGAATCATGGCAATCGGTGTTGCAACGTAGCCAGGCTCTGTGAATAAACATTAAACATGAAAATTAAGCACGTTTCATATCTCCTGGATTCTAGCAAATCATAAAAACCACTGAATTAATCCACTTTACAATAATCCCAGTATTACTAGCAAGATACACAATTTGTTCTATTCATGCTCAAGATTTCTATTTCTGGTCTGCATTTAATCATAAATTACATTATTTATATCCTTTTTTATATGTTAACATACGTCATATATGTCAACTAACATCATACATATGTCAATAATATATCATACGTTGTGGTAATATATAAATACATCACCAGTCATCTTAATATAAACATGTTTAACAATAAATCCAAATGTATTATATATAAACTATCTATTAATACATTTTCTCATAAATCCCAAATACCATAATATTATATTTAATTACAATAATTCTTATACATTTATTTACATTTATAGTATTTTATAAAATAAAAATACATACATACATTATTTAATCATACAATATTAAAATCAATATTATAGTTTTAAATAAATTGCAATATATTACATCATGTAATTTATGTATCACATAATATTAAAATCAATATTAAATTTTTGAATTAAGATCTACTATTTTACTACTATCGAATCATAGAGTATTAAAATCAATATTATATTATAAATTAAACTATATTATAATACATTATATCAAGCTTCAAATACCAGAAAGAAATGTTAGAACAATTTTAGGACCATTTTTACATCAAACAAACAATGAAAATATAAGCACATAAAAGGAGAAACTGTCATTTTCTTAAGATTTAATGTATACCTAATTTATTTCCTTTTATAAATTTGTAGTTAAGTATTTAGCCATGTAAACCATAATCAATGATGCCATACAACTATATATACCATTTTAATACCATACATATTCAATCCAAAAATACAATAATACATTGATTTAATTATACAATTTCCATTCGGTCATAAATTTTATATATATCACATTGTAATTTAAATCTGAAACACATTACTTTAGCAATTTAAATCTTTAAAAAAAAAAGAAGCACATTGCCTCTGGCTTTTAATTTTACTACTTAACATCAAATTGTACTTAGTGTAATGAATTATTTAAAAAAATTAATGCATTAACGATTAGAATATATAAATGTCACTAATGTTCCAGTGAACATGGAATTTAATTTGAGAAGACACTGGTATATTTAATTGGAAAAATCAAAAAGCTATGTTTTGGAGTACCATGCTCTCTCTCTTCCTTCTGGGCACTAGTATTTCCCCCTGGACTGGATACTCCCATGGATAGTCTCACCTGGTCCAGACACCTTTGTGATCATTTGGCGATCATGTTGGCCTTCTTCTTCTTTCTCTTTGGTACTGAATCCCTCGGAATAAAAGGTAAAGGTGAACGAACTCTTCTCTAAATGTTTTCTTGAAGGACCCTCGTGACTGAACGCTCCAAAACTGAATAGTCTTGGATACTACACCACAATAAAACAAGATATAAACACATGATTTGAGTAGCCGTATTAGTATCTACACTAATGATATATAGACATGAACGTGTACTCAAACAAATGCTTTTGTGACACAATGTACTTCTTTGGGTAAATAAAAATACAAGTGAGCACAAAGCTGTTTTAAAAAAGATCTTGAAATTTAGCAACATTCAGGTTAGCCATTTGGGGGGGTACAGATGTATGCAAAAATGGACAACTGGCATATCGGGGGTACCTACTGCAACTCCAATACCCAAATACTGGCCTAACAATAGATTGCTGTATAAAATGTAAAGATTTCCATTTTAATCAATAAAAATATTTACAGATATCAACAAATTTTATATTCAGTACATGCGACTGTTTTGAAAATGTGGACCTTTTCCCATGGCGGGAGGGGAATGCATGCATTCACTCCATCTTACAGATTACTTATAATTCTTTTTAAATAAGAAATATGATGTATTCACCTTTTCTAAAAGATTTCTGCCAAATTTAAATTTAGCAAGCACTGAGAACAGGAGTCCACCGACAATGAGCATCAACAGCGAAAAGAAACTGCTAACAGTTGCGTACGCTCCAAACTGAATCTACGAGAAACAGAAAAAAATAATCATCATTAACCTACGCAAACAATGAAATTAAATGAATGTAAATTGTACTCAGTTACCAATTTAAGAGATTTTCGCAAATTCCCCATGCAGGATGTACAAAAATAAATACCTCCTTAAATTGATCAGCACTTCAGATATGCCCATATAGAGGGTGCTGTTTTGGGACATTATCACCATGGCAACATAATGAGTTGAGTATAATGGAATGATTAGATTAGAGGTTTAGTGACATAAACTTTAGTTAGATAAGCCATGCGTGCCTACATGATTACCTTAATGGGTTGGAATTAAGCATATGAGATATCGGTGAAATACTGGCAATTATATTCTGAACAACTCATATAGCATTTGTCAATTTGAAATCAATCAATTATTAAACACATGTTGAAACCTGCATTAGCAATTTGATTTATACAGCTATATAAACACATTTACTTTATTGCAAGTTGATAAATAAATCGTGCTTATTAAAATAACAAATACATAAAAACCATTTATCAATGTGAAACATCACATGTTAATATTAAAATACACAGACTATTATACACTGGTTGTTGCCTGTAGGAAGATATTACATCAATACTAACACCTTTTATGTTAACATTTGAAATTGCCAGCTTAGACCTTGGTTGTAGTTCAAACTAATTCCTCCACGGTTGTAGCCCATAGGATGATACTAAATTTATACTAACACAAAATGTAATATGAGTAGATAGAAAACTACAATGAGATTGAGAATGTGTCTTTCCATTTATTGTGATACTTGATATTTGTTCACTGAGCCTTCTACTTGAATTTCCTTGTCCTTGTGTCTATTGAATTAACTAAATTACTGTAAAATGTAACCAGAACCGCTAATAATACTTCTGTACATTGATAGCAGTACATGATGAATGTGTCTAGTGAGAACAGTGGCGGCACCAAGGGGGGGGGGGCCCACATTTGACAAGTCAAGCCCCACGCCGGCCAAGTTAGTCAGGCAGTCGGACCAAAAAAAAAGTTTTTAAATAGGCCTACACCAAGCCAAAACATGTTTTTCACAGTCGTAAAGTGCCATTTCCGGCCATCCAGAGGATCCATATTTAAAAAATAAAAACTCATTTCGGAGAGGGACACCCCTCCCAAACCTCCTCAGGCATACAAGCTCAAGCCCCCTTGTAGAACAGCTTAGGCAGCCAAGGAAATGTATCCTAGAGCCAGCACTGTGTAAGAGGGAATGAACAATTAATTCTTATAACTTTTAAATGTTGAAAGGGCGTTTACCTCCATGGATACTTATCATCCCAATTTATTTTTAATAACAATATCCATTCAAAATGCACACGTAGCAAAACTAATAATGATTTAATTATACCACCTTAGAATATTTGTCGAGGTATTAGAACATTTTGATTTTAGAATGTACTTCCAAAACCAAAATTAACTTTAAAGAAATGACATTAGTTTTATTCCATAATCTATACTACTAAAATAACGTTCTGAGTTAACTGTTGTGATGTCATTGTGCCATGCACCAAATCTAATATACAATCATAGCCATATATATTCAGAGACATACCACAACACCGCATTCAAACAGCGAACACGCCGGAGTTAACACGTTATTAATGTATATGTTACATTTTCACACCCAAGCAGGTACTGTACTCCAATGTATTATCAAAATGAACAATTCCTCACAAGGGCCAATTCGGCAGAGACACTCACGCAAAACACTATCTACAAAGAGGTCCTTTAAAAAAAGAATGACAAGGTAACTACAGTATAACATCCTCAATGATTGCCTCCTCAATTTCCCATAATAACTCTATGCCTCTCCAACTTTTCACAATCATTTAACACCCTGCAAAGTACAGGTATTTGCTAGTTCTATTAATTTATAAGTTTTACATTGAATTTGACTTTGTTTTGTATGTTGTTTTCTTTTTTTTATGGTTTGTTTGTAAATGTACTACTTTGAAAACCAATACACAAGTACTAATAGCACCTGTAGTCTCTAGAAAGTACAAATAAATAAATAAAGAAATAAATAAGTAAATAACCAAAATATATACTGCTCTACCCTGGTGTTCTGTATTTGATATTTTGCTGAAATTGAATAAAATCTTACTGGTCGTTGTGATTCCTTCTCAAACATGAAGCGTTGGGTTCTTCTTACAACGGAGACATCCGACCCAGGAAATGGTATTGCCCACTTGGCAGACGGTTCATGAAAGAACACAGAACTCCTAACATACAGGAAATATAATAAACACATATAAAAAAGCATTAAGAAAAAAGTATGACATTGAAATAAGAGGTGATGATCATGAGGGGTGGTTTTGGCCTGGGGGTAAAAAATTGAGAATGTGGAACTAAATCCCTATTCCAATGAAAACTTAAAGGTCATTTTTAGTATTTTAACCTACTCAGTGGAAGTAATTTGCACAAGTTGCGTCCACACCCCCGGCATCCCCCACCTTACGCCCATGTGATCATGGATGAGGGGAAGATTGTGGTGACATCTATCAGCAGCTGGCAAGAAAGGATGCTGCAAAATGTGGAGAAGGCGTTAATATACTATATTATGAAGATAAGTGAGATAAAACTTTCCAAAAAAAATGCAATTCATCGATAATTAAATGAGTTGTAGCAGCTGAGACAGTTCAGTGAAATTGAGCAAATTAATCCATCGACATTCGATAGGCCAACAGACTCAAATGCAATATACAATTCCCTTTCCCATTCTCTACGGATTGTACGGCTAAATCTCCTGATGGACACAGGCCATGGAAACTATCATAACATATGTTTAAGTTTATTATACTAATATACTGAAAAACCTTTCTTTTTTCATTTTACCTTTTCGTCAACCTTGGTTTGTAGCGAGGGAGCGGTTCATGCTTAAATTGTTTTCGCAAGCTTATCAGTTCCTTAGCGTTTGCAAATCCGTGAATGGCCGACTGCCAAGTCCCATAATGCCCAACAGTCCCCTGGCAAATAAATGCAAAGCTTATGTTAATCATTATACATGTCTACAATAATTGTACACTGTGCATGGCTACAGCTAAAGACTATGGCGATAATGTAAAGAACTTTGAAACAGTGAAAACACTTAACAGACAGATAATGTTGTTTTTATAAATTTTAAGATTTTTCTCAGTAAATTCATAGTGTTTACTGACTGAAATTAGAAGAGAGTTTTTGACTTTCTAGAGAATGAAATTAATGAAAATTCCACCAAGAATATACATTGATATTAATTTTGATTAATGACAGATACCATAAAAAAATGTAAACTGATATTAATTATTAATTAATTTAGTTGCTCTGTATCTACCGGAAAATGTGTGTACAAAATACTTGGACATTACATTATCAACGATGCGACTGTGGCAAAGAAAGAACAGCAAATGTACAGAAGAACAAGTGCAATAGAACAAGTAAAATAGAATGAGTGCAATAGAATATGTGCAATAGCACAAATATTATATAGCGTGAACGAAACTAATGCTACAGAACATGTGCAATAGTACAAATGTTATCACATATAGAACATGTGCAATAGTACAAATGTTACATAGCACAAACTATACTATTATGCTATTAAAACGTGTGCAATAGTAAAAATATCTTATATTGCACAAACTATGCCATTGTGCTATAAAAAGTGTCTATTACCATAGGAACACAACAAATATAATACGAACTTTAGTTTGCTTGCCTTGATTTTCATGTAAGATATTAATCATTATTATCAATAATTATTGATACAAATAATAAACTCACAGATCCACCGCTGGCCATAAGAAAACTTTCTATCGTGTTCAGAATTCCTAATAAAGTAGAAAATTACATAAGTAAACTTTGATGATAATGTATTCATTCTACTTTCATCACTTCACAGCCTTATTTTCCCCTGAGAATGGTTGTGTTCAACTAATAAATTGGATTTTAAATTGAGGAACGGCAATGATTAGTGAGAATAAATAGAAGTTATAAGCATATAAACGAGGAACTATAAGCACATTAAGTAACTACTCACTTAAATCAAATTGTAATACCGTAGTTCCTTGGATATAATCCCACCTCGAGTATAAGCCCTCCCCTTACTTTACGCCCAAATTTATGTACTAGCCTTTCCTCGGGCAAAAGCCCAGGTATGAATCGAATGAGTAGCTTAGCTAACTTTTACAAATACTTTAAAAACAAACATTCACGTTATATTAGGCATGCAATGCTGAGAAACTGTATTTTGATTTAAAAAAGGAGATTCCTCTAGTTTATAACCATCCGATACACCCTATCCAAATTATTTGTGTTCAAGTTGAGTTGGCTTATACAAAAGAAACTATGTATATTATTTTGAAATTTTTAAGAAAACACGTAAAATGTGTTTGTTGAACCCTGAAGCAAGTTGAGGATGATGGAGATTATATGATCTTGAGCCCTGTAGTAACTCAAAGGAGGATGGCGATTATTATGATAAATAAGAAAAATGATGAGATCTCAGATGCTTTACTACTTAGAGGGAGAAATGAGAAAGGGCTAAACATAATTATTCCTGAATATGAGTGATAACTATGTAAATGAGTATTATTAATGAGTGTAGAGTTGAAGTAATTACTGGATATGTTTGAGCATGGCTAAAGACAGTGAAGATATATATTGGTACTACATCAATGCATTAAAAATTGCTTCATCTGTCCAGAGCCTCTGTTGGTCAACCATCTTGAGTTATGGTTAGTAAATTAATAAATTATTCAATGAAATAATAATTCAAGTGTCTGGTTTTATTGATAAGGAGAAAAATTAACAGCATTTAATTTAATAATGAATATACAAATACATTACATGATTGATTTGCGAGTCTCTGGTTTTTAGTAATAACTTAAGAACAGACATGAAAAATTAATTATTACTATATTTACGTTCTTAGTCTATAAAACAACTAATAATGCAACACAAATCTCATTAAAACTTGCTTAACTGGTAAATTTCAATGTTTATTAGCTGTCAACTAAAAATTATAACAAAAAAAAAATTTTTCTTGCCAATTAAACAAAGTTGAATAATACACGCCATTCCATTTATTTCTGCACACCTTTAATTTTTAAAGCACACTTAAGGATTTTACATCTGTAAATCATTGTCTGTAACAATTGTAAACCTTGCAACGTATCTGCTAAATTTTAAAACGTATTTAAAATTAAAATTAAAATTTAAAATTTTTGATTTTTTTTTTTGGTTGGCCGTATATCTTTAAACAAATATAAATACCATTACAGAGTGTCATGTTTGACTTGTCATAAAAAAAAATTAATCTTAATTAGAATTTTTGATGATTTGAGTTGCCGTATATCTTTAAATAAATATGAAGAAATGATAAATTACAAACATAAGTGAGTTAAGAAATGAGATTTTATGTTATACAGATTATGAAGTGTTACGATTGATTTATGTCATAATTATATGCAGAAATCAGGAATAATTCAACCGTGCTTTATAAACACAGAAGGATTTTGTCATTGAGCTTTCTTTAACGAAGTTCATTATCCTGGTATCTAACACGGAATGATGACACTGGGTTGATGACATCAAATTATCATTACTCCTCATTGTTCAAACCAGACAATAGCAACACAAGTAGAAAGTATATGTATGATTTTAAATGTCAATCCTTATTATCATCCATCCCGATTCTAATAATCATTATATTATTCTTTTCAGTTTCCCATTTTGAAATTTCATAAATATGATCAATTTACCTGGGAAATGTCTGTCTCTTATACACATCTAGATGTGTATAAGAGACAGAATATGCACAGCAGTATGTAATGTTCAGCGATAGTATGAGAATGGTATTATTCAAAGTGCACTTTATCTACAGAAGTTATACGTTACAATATTATTGTAAGATTACGAATTTACTTCAAATAGAGATGGAAAAGAAATAAGATAATTAATTTCTCCTAAAGATTTGAACTTTTGTGGCCACCATTACATATATTTTCATTATCAATATACAGTAGTCTATCTTTTAAGCAGTATGTAATGTTCAGCGATAGTATGAGAATGGTATTATTCAAAGTGCACTTTATCTACAGAAGTTATACGTTACAATATTATTGTAAGATTACGAATTTACTTCAAATAGAGATGGAAAAGAAATAAGATATTAAATTTCTCCTAAAGATTTGAATTTTTGTGGCCACCATTACATATATTTTCATTATCAATATACAGTAGTCTATCTTTTAGGGTATGTTAATTAGTCCTTTTATAAATCTTTCTTTTTTTTATGTATGGCTTAAATTGAATAAGTATATGAAGAAAAAAATTTACAGAGCACTTACAGGCATTAATCAATAAAAACTAATCTCTTATATGTGATTTCCATTCTTTAATTCACCTTAAGTATTAATATGATTGGGTCTGTAGACAATTACTTCCATTATTTTTTATGTCTTGGCTACAAAATAAATGCACAATTTGTTCCAACAAGTCGTTTGTAATTTCATCTGGCATGAGGGATGGATTGATTTTGATGTATTGGTCTTTGGTGCGGTCAGTTATCAGTAGTCGTCATGTTCAGGAAGACTGATATCGTGTCTAATTGATTCAATCAGTGCTTTTAACAGTCAAAACCCTTCTAGAATCACTTCTTATTTAAGGAAATACCATTACGCTTCATAGCTTGAATGGAGTTACTGGTAACGGGGGATTGAGAAAGACATTACAAAATTAATTTACTAATGGCCGGAAAGCAGAAAAAACAACGGAATTGTTTATTACAATAGGAGATGTGACAATTCCCAACACTTCTTCAATTCATTTCTGTTAAAAAAAAGTTTGATTTGAAAACTCTAAATTCGGAATTTAATAAATTTAAAAGCCAGTAAAGAAATTGCTGTGTATACAAAGATTAAATATCTTTAGACATGACACCAAATCGCAAACATCACATCCATCTCTGCCTAATTTACATATTTTTAGGCAAACATCCATGTATTTTAAACTAATGAAAATACAGCAGTATGTAAATAGCTAGCTAATTTGCATAATGAATAATCATTCTTAGTGATAAATCTTGAATCTTGATTGCAGTATGTCATTAAATTGGAATGTGATCCAAATTATCGTCATCAGTTCAAGAAGGTATGTTTTCACATTCAAATGTATGTCATTAATGTTGAAATCTGATCCCGGTACAACACCCAATTCCCTGTCCCCGCCCCCACACTAACCAAGACTGTTACATTAAACCGACATTATAAGATAAGCTGATGCTTTGATCTTGACATTCTTGGTAAAAAAAAAAAAGACCTCAAGGAGTTCTCAAAATATTCAGCAAGGATCTGTTCACATGGTAACGGTGAGAGCTTATCTTTCACTTTAACCTTGTGCTTATCTTCATTAACTGACTTTTATCAAGGTTTGTATTTAGTTGGGAGAAATTGACAAATCTGGGATATTGGAACACATATCCCTGTTAATATTTAGTGCATTTTCTGCCGTGTGAATCGGGTGTAACAAAACAAAGATCAATTTACCTGGGAAATGTTCCCTAACAAAGCAGACACCCATATCGGCTGGGATACTGTCGAAACCACAACTTCCAATCACATAAACGTTGGCATTTTGTGCTTTCTCATCATAGTTCAACTGGATACCTTCAAGAAACTATTAATGACATAATTCATAAACCATATGGAAAAAAAATACATATTTTCATATTATCAAATAATTTTGTGCTTTCTCAACATAGTTCAATTGGATACCTTCAAGAAACTATTAATGACATGATTCATAAACCATATATGGAAAAAAATACATATTTTCATATAATATCAAATAATTTTAATTCAATTACAGCATAACAAATTGAAAAGGTATAAAAAATTATCCAACTAAAAAATCTTAAATTTATAATGATTGCACTTTCCTTTAAAAGGGATTATGACAAAGATTATCATGATGCTGTATCATGGGTAATATTGATATCTAAGCCAATATCATGATGTATTGTACATCATATAAAATTGATCCACTGTCAATTGTTACACAGCATTGCTGCCCCTCTCAAGTGCAATGAAAATGCTCTCCAATTCGACTGACCAATCAATGTCGCCAAAAGGTGAAGTTGACAGTATACAGCAAATTTTATGAGTACCACGCATTTTATTTGTTTATAGTAGTGCTGTACAGTTTATTATCAATGAGGAATCTTTCTTTCCTTTTTCTTTCTTTATTAATATTTAACCTGGATTTTCTGCTCAGTCTCTAATCATAAAAACTTACAAAAATGACAGTAAAATAAACAAATAAAATTAAAATTCTTTCAAGAACACAGACTCTAATAATAAGAACAGCAGCATCAACAACAAAAAACAATACTGTATTTTATAATTTATATCGGTAAAAGTAAAATAAATTGGAAATAAGAGAATAAATAAAAACAGATAAATGAGGACTGGAAAATATATCAATGCGTCATCGTAACATTATTGAAGCACTGAAGATAAGAGTGCTTGTTCATAGCACTGTGTGTTTCATACCCAGACAGAATTTTTTTTTTAATCCATTTTCAAGACATGAACACTTTTGATAATTATCATACTATATTAATTTCAATAATAAAATAATAATTAAAATAATCATAACAATATATCCAACTAATCATAATACTAACATCATTAAAAAAAGAAGATAGATAGATACAGGGTAAAGGTGTAACCTGACACTACAATGTTCTTTTGTGTAAGTAAAAGAGGGTGTATGCTCATTTAATGCAATAGCTACACTAAGTGGAGGATGAAAAGTCTCTAGAATGGCAATCTCCATAAATTTGTTGAGAATTGGAGATCTGTGATGAAATTCATTATCAGTGTTTATATTCAAATCCATTAGCCAGGAGGCTGTTTACAAAACTAGCAGGACAGCAGATACTTTGAGGATAATTACGATACACTAAAGGCTCACCATCAATATCGGTTGTTAATCCCAAAGGGCAAACAGAGAGCCTCAACATCCAATATCTGGCTGATAATCCACAAGGGTAAAAATATAACCTCCACATTGAGTATCGGGTTGCTAATCCACAAGGGTCAAATACATATCCTCAAAATCAAATTTCATTAGTAGTTCCAAATGATAAAAATATAGTTTCAACAAAGTATCACAGGGGCGGATCCAGAGATGTCTGAAAGGGGGTGGGGGGAAAAAGTGGAGCCGATCAAGATAACACTACCCTTGGGGGTCCGGGGGCATTCCCCCGCAACATGTTTGTATTGTAGATGACCGAAAATAACCTCTGAGACATTTTATGGCAATCAATCAATAGGCCTATTGGCTAAAGGTACTGTAGGTCTCCCCAGGATTTCAGACACACAGCTAGGCCTACTAGTTAGGCATAGGGAGATTTGGCACTGCGGTTGAACTAATTTAAAAATACAGATTTGTATTGTTTTACTTTCTTTTAGATAAATATCTTCCCTGCAGCGGCCAACTACACACCCGACGAGTGTGATATATTCAGTAAGAAAAAGTTGTATTGTATTATACAAATCTGCATCTGCCCCTCTTGTATAGTAAGTTGGAGAAGCTACTAATAGTGACCAAATGACTTTACTAGGGTTACTAGGTTTATAACGCCACACAACCCCCCTCCCCCATCCTAGAAATTAATACACTATAATTTCTAATTTCTTCTAGGATATATATAT